ATCAAAATGTCTCTGAAAGAAATGCAAAAATATGGATTAGAGGACATAAGACTAAAGACAAATAAGCACATGTCACTTCATCCGATTCTACGTTACATATATACATAGTTATGGATTAGAGGACATAAGACTAAAGACAAATAAGCACATGTCACTTCATCCGATTCTACGTTACATATATACATAGTTATGGATTAGAGGACATACGACTATAGACAACTAAGCACATGTCACACCATCCGATTCTACGTTACATATGTAGATATAAGAAGATGTGGTATGAGTGCCAATGAGACAACTCTCCATCCAAGTCAAAATTTATAAAAGTAAACCATTATAGGTCAAAGTACGATCTTCAACACGGAGCCTTGGCTCACACCGAACAGCAAGCTATAAAGGGCCCCAAAAATTACTAGTGTAAAATCTTTCAAACGGGAAAAACACCGTCTAATCTATATTAAAACGAGAAACACTTATGAACCACATCAATAAACGACAACTATTGAAATCAGATTCCTGACTTAGGACAGGTGCAAACAATTACAGCGGGTTTTAACGTTTTAATGGTACCAAACCTTCACCCTTATCTGAAACAATAGTGTAACATCACAACAACGAAAGACATTCTATAAAATATATTTTGAAATGGCTTAACTCAATCAAAAGACATTAACACCAGTGAACATATTACACTGAACAAATAAATTTGATCTATGATACAATGTAAATACAAAATAAATAAACTAAGGGAAGAATAATTAATGTCACTTCATTCGATTCTACGTTACATATATACATAGTTATGGATTAGAGGACATAAGACTAAAGACAAATAAGCACATGTCACTTCATTTGATACTACGTTACATATGTACATAGTTATGGATTAGAGGACATATAAGACTAAAGACAACTAAGCACATGTCACTTCATCCGATTCTACGTTACATATGTACATAGTTATGGATTAGAGGACATACGACTAAAGACAACCAAGCACATGTCACTTCATCCAATTCTACGTTACATGTGTACATAGTTATTGATTAGAGGACATAAGACTAAAGACAACTAAGCACATGTCACTTCATCCGATTCTACGTTACATATGTACATAGTTATGGATTAGAGGACATAAGACTAAAGACAAATAAGCACATGTCACTTCATCCGATAGCACATGTCACTTCATCCGATTCTACGTTACATATATACATAGTTATGGATTAGAGGACATACGACTAAAGACAACCAAGCACATGTCACTTCATCCTAAAGACAAGCACATGTCACTTCATCCGATTCTACGTTACATGTGTACATAGTTATGGATTAGAGGACATAAGACTAAAGACTAAATAAGCACATGTCACTTCATCCGATTCTACGTTACATATGTACATAGTTATGCAGGCTTCAATACCCTCGGGCAACGTTAACTTTAGCTGGATATGAAATACTCCTTCTAGGTCCTTTATGGTCATATAGCTACTTGAGTATTCAAGTATTTATACATCAAAGACTTTCCATTTTTTTAAGCGTCTTTGAAGAAGGTAAATACACAAGGCGTTTGACGCACCGCATTTATTATGTCATAATTTCAATTTCTCAACACTGGGTTGATACCACTGCACGTGTACGGCTTGTATCCATGGGTTCTATCAGGTCAGTAGTCAGTGCTTCGGTATTGACATGATTAACAACAAACAAATGGAAGTTTTTAACGACCTTGACTGGCTATACAGCCCTTGCACGGTCGGTACATGATTAATAACATACCTTCTTTGATTTATAATAGTTCAGTAAGGGAGCTACCATTTGATTTTTATGGGGGGACTAGGATAAAAAATGTTGTCCTGCCTTTTTATTTTTCCCTCTATTCGGTCCTGCTTTTTTTAATTTTCACTGTATTCAGTCCTGCCTTTATTTTTTTTAGTTTATCCAGCCTTTTTTTTTTACTCAAAACTCGTCCTGCCTATTTTTTTTCAAATTTCATCCTAGCCCTCCCCATAAAAATCAAATGGTAGCTCCGTAACTGAGGTTCCAACTCTCTTAGACACAGTTGACCGTTTGTGGATTTTGCTTTTCTATTAGTTTCCTCTTTCTTTGTCATATACACACGTAACGGTTATCCTATAAAATAGTATATACTATGAAATTGAGAGCGAGGGGCTGTGCCTTGAGCACTTAATTTCATAGTATATCCTTTTCCATTGACTATTTAATTTAGTACATATTTACAACTCGAGTTATCTTTTTATTGATCTATTGCTAGTTTATTTTCAGGGGCGTAGCTACCCGGAGGCATGACAGCACGTGCATCCACGTCGTTTTCACCAAAAAAGAGAGAGAGAGAGAGAGAGAGAGAGTTGGGGGAGTTAACTTATAGGAATTAGTCTTTCTATGTATGCATTTTAAAAACTACACAAAGAATAAGAGCAAGAGGAATACACATGCAGCGAAAATTTTAATCCTGTAAGACATGTATGTGTACAATAAATACATACAACTGGTGTAAACATGGCGGAACTTTTTATATTACGGACATTGTTTAGGAAAAAAAAAAAAAAAACTACATAGTTGTCGGTACAACCACCATAAGTTTAACGTATACTCGCCTTGAGTGCAAAAAAACAACCTAATCCCTTTAGGGTTAACAAAAAAACTTGAAAATGATTATTTTCCGCTTTGCCCAAAACACACATCTTATTAGAACGAAGACATCAACTCGTATCGATCCGGGAATAATGACGAACTAGTTCAAAATTGACCAAGTATGTAGGTCTTGACAACACGAATACTTCATTTTCACAACACGTACACGTTTTCCCGTCCTGGTGTGCATGTAATATTTGCTACTGGACATTAATAACCATTCGATCAATCAATAGTTTCCGTAAACTAATAGATGAGAAGTTGGAACTGCTGTTATTAGAAAGAAAGTACACATTTTCCAGTACATGTATTACGTTTTTATTTATTTTACAAAAAAACATCTTGTATATAGATTCGATAATTTGAAGTCGTTTCTATATTGGCCGGCTATACGAATAGTTGATGGTAAAAGCATTTAAATAAATTATTAATTCTAACTCGTTTTACTGGACTATTTGGTCATTCAATTTTATAATGAATTTTCTATCCGAGTCGAACACTAAACTGCTGATTCTTGTTCGAAAGAAACACCAAACTTTTAATACATGTATCTTCACTGTTATAATCTAGATATTGCCATACAACTGGTCGAATGCACATGCATTTGTTAATTAGCTGGATAATTAACAAACGCAGATCATGAAAAGATCGTGATCAAAGTACCATTCCCTCTGAAAAAGTTCATTAATTTCAACCTCGAGAATTCCTAACTGCGTAAAATTAGACATTCCTATCTCTCTCTTGCATGTAGAGTTTACCCACAGAGTTTTTAAACATCTAAATCCATATGTTCAGCAAAATATTGGGAATGTGTCCACCAAGTTTTTGGTATCCAAAGATGTTTATTCTAACAGAAACTCCACATAAAGTATTGTGTTTTGTTTATTGTTTTTTTTTATACATCTACTTTGCTCAATACACATACTAGCAATCTCCATGATTTGAAAAGCTCTCATGGCTCAAAAAACGTTTAGACAATAAGTCTTCATTCGACTCGAGGTTAAACAAATAGTTGACCAAAAAACCACAACAAAAATGTACAATTTTTATTACGGTTGTGATTGTTTTGAAACGCTATAAATGCGGATCTACCTTCTGGGGGCCTTAGGCGGCCCCAAACCCCTCGCCCTTTAGTTTGTGATTCCACTTCATTAAGAAGGTAGCTACGCCCCTGATTTTGGCTGACAGGTGTTTGTAAAACGAAGATCATTAACTAAGTTTTTTATGTTTTGTAAATTTACTCCCTAGTATCATAGCTACTATATCAGTTGGTGACAGTGATTTACCCATCAGTTTATAAATGCAGAAATTTAATGGTTTAGAGGTCAATCTCACATACAAATATGTGATTTTAAAATGCCGTAGACTCACAGGCACTTGTTTCTATCCATGGGACCCACTATCAAGTATATTTACTCCATGGACAATATGTATTTAATAAAATCATATCTTATCATAATGTGACTTATACTTACAAAATTCAAAGCTCAGTTTGAACTGACTTTAATGTATGACTTTAATAGAAAATACTTGAAATTCAATTTCTGACTACAGAAACATAAACTTTCAATATCAAGATCAATTTAGGTTGATTTTTTCTTGTTTGTCCTACTGCTTTTAAGACTTTTTACAACTTATACCATGAGTTAAGTGAAAAAGCAAAGGTAATGAAGTGTTAAGGAATATTGTCCCCCTTTTTTTCATCAGTTATCAATTATGGGTCATTTATTGATGAATATAAATACAGTTATGGTCATGAAACATTTTTCATTTACTATAAGTCAATAATATTTAAGGTAGAAAACTTTTATTTGAGACAATTTATGGGATTGGAGTGAATTTATGCAGTTTTTACATTAGGCAGTGCTATCTGTAAAAACAAGTTCAAGATCAAACAACCCTTTATAAGGGTTAAATCTAAATTGTTTGGGGAACTGTTTTCATTAATGCCAGATTTTTATACGGTTTATTACTTACGCATGCTAATGCTCCCCATCCATGAGAAACCTTATCAGGATATTCAGTTTTAAATGTAAGACATTACAATCTGTGGTAGATCCAGGGGACATGTAGAGGGTGTACGCCCCCCTTTAATCACCAATTTTTTTTCCTTAAATCTCATGTTTTTCACAATATATATAAATTTTTAGTATAGAATTGTTCAATTGCTCTGTTTAGCTGTTTATATTCAGTTATTGGTTAATATGACCTCTTTTAAAAATCATGGATTGGTAAGACAGGGCATACAACTGTGAAATAACAAGAAGAGTTTTAATTAGTAGCAGTTATCATAACTTCATAATACACATTTTAGGTGTAATGCTGTATTTTGATTAAGAACAACACTGATTATATGAATTTAATTAATGTTCCAACTTCCAAAATATATATGTTTATTTATGGTAATATAAATATCAAATACCAAAACATAAGTAATAAAAAATATACTTTATCACAGGTAAGTGTACAGTAATGTAAATAATGCATAATGAATATTATTCCACTGTTTATACATATTGATAGTTTAATCAATATTTGATTGGTTGAGACTATCTCACGTGTCATTGAACAAATCTTCATATTCCCTTCTGAGGATCATATTCCCCTCTGAAATGTTGGGATTACATCGTGCGACGTTACACGCGGTTAATGTACATAACGTTTTGAACTTCTTATTCTTCTTAAAATAGTGATAGCAAAAATCATTATCATATTCAAATTTATTTCAGATGATAAAACAAAAAAAAAGACTAATAATGAACTTTTGATCCGTACTGTTTATCAAGGTGTATGTCATGTTTAGTTTAACTTATAAAAACAAGCGGATAAGAAAAAAAAATGTATGCAAAATAATAATTAATGTATTGATAGTTAACAAAGCATAGGCAGTGGAATGAAACATTCATTTCCCTTTGCCTCGGGAGATATGAAGATTTGCTCACCCTCAAAAAATCATATTTCCCTGGGGCAGAGCCCTCGTGAAATATGAATATTCTTGGGTGAACAAATCTTCATAACTCCCTCAGGCATGGGAAATAAATGTATAATATTTAATTTGATAATACAAAACTATGATATTAGCATGAATTAAAGCAACACATTTCAGATCTTTATTTATATTAATTAAAAAACAAAAGGCTCTAGCCTAAATTGCACACATGGCATTCATATTGGTAATAATTGACTATTAATGCATCTCAAAATTCAAAATAAAAGAACAGTGCTTTTGAAAGGATCCATTCAGAAGATTCTTGGAAGAACATTTCTTTACCTTGTCTAACATGAATGGTTCTGATGCATCTATCCAATAAAACTGATGGAACAAAAATATGAAGCATGGAAATTTTATCTCATATTATATTACAAAATATAAGTTTCTTTTAAAAAGATCTGAAATTCCATGTTTTTATAATTATAATATAACAATAAATAATAACATACATAATAAATATGCATAATGTAAATATATAAATATTCTTGAAAACAAAAGAGGAATGTCATATAACAACAGAGTAACAAAAACATTCACAATGCTATGAGACTGGAATAACCCACAAAAATATACCTTCTACCACTGCTTTTATCAAAACACTCATTATATAACTTATTTCCAAGCATAAATGAGATATAGTTATGATACTATCCAGTTATTATCTAGCTGTTACCTGGAGTGGCTCCAACTCATAAAACGTCATAAGACAATTGATCAAGAATATATACCAGGACCAATAAAAAATGTATATACTCTGTTTACTCCATATATATAAATATAATGCAAAATTTTAAATGTAAATATCTTAATAAATAATAAACTAATAAACTTGCTCAAGAAAGTTGTAAAATATTTTTCAGAATTTTTCTTTTGTAGTGTTAGTATACCCTGCCTGACAAACATGAACACCTTGAGCTTACAATCATTACAAACCCCAAATATATTTAACCCATTGCATATGGTATCTGAGAAACAGACCAACCCACAAAACTTTACATTGACCGTTGAACCATGAAAATGAGGTCAAGGACAAATGAATTCTGTAAGACCGACATGTATATTATACAACCATTCCATACTCCAAATATATATGAATCATTGCTTATAGTATCTGAGAAACAGACCTAATCATAAAAACTAAACATTGACTGCTGATCCACGAAAATGAGGTCATGGTTAGATGAATCCTGCCAGACAGACCAGTCTCCTTGCAATCATTTCATATAATCAACATATTGCTAAAAAAGTTTCTGAAAAACAGACTTAACCATTAAAAGTTAACATTGACAAATGAATCATGTCAGATGAACATTGTCTGGCAGACATGCAGACCTTGCAAGGATCCCCAATACAAAATGTATAGTTATTGTATCTCTAACAATAAGTGACAATCTCATGTAACAAAAAACTTAACAATTTGTTTAAGCAGTCACTGAACCATATAAATGAGGTCAAATACCATGGATATATGACAATTAAAAACCGTAAGTTAAAAGCATATAAAAATCAATTATGCATAATGTAAATATATCAATATTATTGATTACAAATCAGGAATGTCATATAGTATAAAAGTAACAAAAAGCATTTATAATGCTGTGAGACTAGAAAAACACACACAAATATATATACCCTTTTCCATTACTTTTTTTTCTCAAAACCATCATTATAGAACTGAATTGTCAAGTATTATTTGAATAGATATGGTCTAAGACAATACTGATCATGAATATATACCAGGACCAACAAAAAAAAAATATATATATACTTATATCAATATTTCTTTTGTGAAACATCTTGCCTTATGTGACGTTAACTTATAATTCTCCAAGTTCCATATGAGCATTCTGGGTGTCATCAACTCCCAGATCCTACTAATTAGACAAGAGTGCATACGCTGAAATGTGTTGCCTGCTTTGCTTACCATTGATTTTATGTTGATAGTCTTAAATATAAAGTTTCACTACAAGTATCACATTAACATTTATGATCTAAGAAAATGAGGTCAAGGTCAGATAAATCAAGAAAGAAATATATGTACACCTTACAATCATTCCATACACCCAATATATGGAACTATTGCTTGTAGTATACAAGAAACAGACAAAATCATAAAAACTTTATATTGACCAATGAACCATGAAAATGAGGTCAAGGTCAGATGAACCCTGCAAGACAGACATGTACACTTAACAATCATTCCATGCATCAAATATAGTTGACCTATTGCTTACAGTTTAAGAAAAGCAGACCAAAACACAATAAACTGCTTGGCCTAGCGCAGCTGGATACAACCGCAGAGGTCCAACCCTGAACAGTCGGGGCAAAAATGGACACAATATTCAAGCTTCATACAGGTCTGAATTAGGATTGTAATTAAATATTTGACACTTTATAGGTTTCTGACACAGAATAAATGTAGTCAAAGAACTTGAAATTGGTTATATGATTTGAATTTATATTCAATTGAAGATTTCTTGCTTTTGTGCAATAGACTGTGCTGTTGCGCTATAATTAGTAAATCTGTTTTCAGACTATATACAAAGAATTAGCCAAATAAATTGTGACCCCCAATTTTTCTTTGGAAAATTGACAATTTCTTAAATTTTGAGGGAAAAAAATTGACCCCCCTATAAAAACTTCTACTCCCCGCCCTTTTCCAAAAAAAAAAAAAAATAATAATATTTGAAGAAATCTTTATAATTTCTTTAATCTTGAGGGAAAAAAATTGCAACTCCTTCCAAAAATTTTTTTTTTTTTGCCCCCCTCCCCCCCCTATTCGAAAAAAATAGAAAAAAATATCATTTGAAGAAATTTTCTATTTGTAAAATGTGGTGCAATTTAAGAAAAATATATACACTTAAACACAAGTTATTGCCTGAAAATTAAAAAAAATGCTTGTTTTATACCCTTTTTGGCCCCTAATTCCTGAATGGTTTGGGCAACTACCCCCAAAATGAATCCCAACCTTCTACTTGTGGTACATATTTCAGGGCAATCACAATACTTAAACACAAGTTATTGTCCTGAAACTAGAAAAATGCTTGTTTTGGGCCCCATTTGGGCCCCTAATTCCTAAACGGTTGGAACCATCACCCCCAAAAACAATCCCAACCTTCCTTTTGTGGTATTGAACCTTTTGTTTAATTTCATAGAGATCCATACACATAAAGTTATTGTCCGGAAACCAAATGTCTTCGGACGACGACGACGAAGCAGAAGGCGACGTGATAGCATTATACGACCCCAAAATTTTTTTGCGATCGTATTAAAATTTGACATTGAGCAATGAACTGTGAAAATGAGGTCAAGGTAAGAAAAAACCTGCCAACTGACATGTACATCCTAAAATATTTCCATACACCAGATATAGTTGATCTGTTGCATACATGTAATATTAGAAAAACAGAACAAAACACAAAAACTTAATTTTGACCAGTGAACAATGAAAATGAGGTCAAGGTCAGATGACACCTGCCATAAGACCTATTGCTTATAGTATCTGAGATATGGACTTGACCACGAAAACTTAACCTTGTTCACTGATACATGAAATGAGATTGAGGTCAAGTAAAAACTGTCTGACAGGCATGACGACATTGCAAGGTATGCATTTACCAAATATAGTTATCCTATCACTCATAATAAGAGAGAAATTAACATTACAAAAAATTTTAACTTTTCAAGTAGTCACTGAACCATGAAAATGAGGTCAAGGACAATGGACAAACGACAGACAGAAACTTCATAACATAAGGCATCTATATACTAAGTATGAAGCATCCAGGTCTTCTTTCTTCTAAAATATTAAGCTTTTAAGTAGTTAGTTAATGCTGCCTTGGCCGCCAGATCACTATCCCTATGTCTTGCTTTCTGCGACAGAAGTCGAAGGCTCAACAAATCAATGTTTCAAGCCAAAAATCACCTGATATCTTAATATAATCACATTTCAAGTATGTTTCATATAAGAATCCATTCTATTGATTGACTGAAAGCAATCGCAAGGCATTACAATATCAAATTTTATTTCTCAATAAAATTCAACCTTCATGACAGCACATGCTTCTCATGACAACTTCACAACAATGAATATAAAAACAAATGAAAAATTAGCTATAACTCATAATTTCATGGTTGTAGCATAAAAATGTAATTATAAAAATTGAATGCTTCTTTTAGTAATTTTATTGGGATGTAAAAGTGTTGACCAGAGCATGCATTAAATAAATGAATATTCAAATATTTATAGAAATTAGACATGGATAATTGACAATCCAATAAAAATTTGGTTAGAAAATAAATTGTGATGGACATGAAAGGACAACTATATTTTGCCATATAATATATGGTGGTTACTGTGGATTCACTTAGTTTGGATGAGACCAATTTTCATGGATTGAAGTAAAATTGTATTTTGTGTAAACTTGCTTTCCTGATTTTGTCAAATTCTGCATACAAACCTATAGGAATTTTAATTTTGTTGAATAATTAAATTGTTTCATCTATACAAACAAAATCCACAAAAATGAGCATCCCACAAATATTAATGAATTCACAGTTCATGTATTCATGAAAAAAATAAAAGCTCAAGTTCAAAACCTTTTTAAAGAAAATTATTTTCTTAAGGAAAGATATGAAGGGAAAAAAACAACATTATCAGTTATTCTGTGTTTTTTTTCAAAGCATTCACCAAAATGTAGATCCTAAACAATGGCAATTTAATTAATGGCATGACATTATTTTAATTTTGGGGTACAAACAATTAAATTATCTATAGTCCTATTGATTTTAAAATGGTGAATTCAAATCTCAATTATGCAAAATTATATGAAATTCAAAGTACATTATCTGATTGGTCTAGGTATATGTAAGCATTCTAGTTCCCTTGGAATCTCTGGTAGATGACTTTTTGTCTTGTGGCCATAGTAGTCCAATGTCGAGGAACTACTACTGATGTATGATGAGACATATTGGACGCAGTATCCAGATCTCTGGTTTATTCTTGTCAATAAAAATATCAGCTGTCTAGAAAATACAAGTAATAAACTATTTACTGTAAATTCAGAAATTATTTCAAGGTTTTTATTAATGCAAATAATGCAACTCGGTGAATATAGCAATAAAAATAACATGCATTCTGATATCTGATACATATCTTATTTGCAGATTTTCCTAAAAGCGCAATAATTAATCTTGCATTTTCGTTCATTGTTTAAAAAATCGCAAAAATAAATACACACAATAATTTCTGAAATTACAGTATTGATAACTGTCTTAACATTGGAAGACTTTTTAACTTTATGGAACAGAGTTGCACACAGGCAAATGTGCCAAGCACGTGCGAAAGTCATGCGTGAATCATGCGCAAATCGTGCGATATATGAAGTATGCGTAAATCACATGATCTTCAATTGCTGTTTTCGCACATATTTCACATGCATGTATCGCATATTTTTGTAAACGCATGATTTAGGCATGAAGGCTATTACATGCGTAAATTATGTGTGAATCATGCGAAAATTGTGCATTATATGAAGTATCTGTTAAACGCATGATCTTCACATGCGTTTTCGCACGTTTTGTTACATGCTTGTACCGCATAATTGTAAACCCATGATTAACGCATAAATGCTAATTAATGCGTGAATCATGCAGAATCATGCATAAATTTACGCACGATAATCGGATGTAGCTCAATTAGGATGTTTTCCGTGTGAAAAATTCACATGATATTCGCATGATTTTCGCACGATTTTCATGCGTGGCACATTTACTAGTGTAGCTTTTATATATAATGCTTGTATGATGTAACATCCATTTTCTTAAAACGTGTCTCATTCAACACTGACCCTCCCCTATTTAAAATAACACTCATAATTATGTCTTGCTATGCCACTGTAAGAAAGCCATACTATTTGTATACTATACAATCAGCTGCATTTTTTCTTACATAGAATAAGTGATGGTATAGATGTAAGTAAATACATTTCTTTACGGTCCTATGTTTTACATATAACGGTCTTTCTATATTTAAATGAGATAGGGTAATACCCATTGAATTCCTTTCTGCACGGATGATTTCGGCAGTCAGTATATAAGGAAGATTTGAGGTGTGTTTGACCAATGCGACGCTCGTTACAAGATAGTAAGGACTATGTTAGTTTGGTATACTATTCCTCACCCTCCCACCCCATTTACGCATATTATATGTAACCTTATCGTTTCTTATCGACTTGTGTATAGTAAAAATTGATTCATTATGTATGGCTGATTGTGTATATTTATGTTGAACACGTTCAATTAAATGCGATTTTGTAGCGAACGCACAACCCTATACTGTGTTTGGTTTTTTCTACGATATCTAGTTCAGAAAAAATTTATTTTTGGAGGAGTGAAACGAGGGAGTAAATAACAGCATATTTTTAAGATTTTGTTGACTTTGACTGAAAGTTGAAAATTCATATCACTGACTTATCTTCAGGTGTTTCCTTTAAATTATTAACAAATTTTGATTTGATGGCTACTGCATGCAGTAGGCATGACAACAATCACGATATTTTACCCATAATATTTTTTTTTTATTAAATTTCAACTTTGCTACTTGAAAATTCTCTTGAATGAGTTATTCATTCATTACAAAAAAAATCTAAGATTACTTGTAGATATTGTTAACAAATAATTGTACTAAATAGTAAAATGATTTTTCTGCAGTAAATACCTATGTCCTGGTGGTATTACATCTTGTGTCAACATAAAACCCCTGGTGCTAATCAGATTCGTTGATTTGGAACAATCTTCCTCTATTGCAGTATACTGCTTTTTGTCTTTGTTTTCAACTATGAATATTAATCCATCCAGCGAAAGAGTATAGGTTCCAGTATTACCCTTCAAAGTCTGAAAGTATTTAGCAGAAAACATCAGAAAAAAATCAATCAACGTCAAATTAAAGTCAATCAACAATCAAAGATATAAAATTGTATTTTTAACAATGGATCCCCAAATTAATTCTTTTTCAAAAAGCTTAAAATTCATAAAATATGGGCTCTAAAGAGCTGGTGTCACTCACCTTGTTCTATGTGCATCTTCAATTTATGGCCACTCTCGAACATTGAAGGCTAGAATATTATTTATGACTTACACCTCTTTTTTGTTGATCTTGTCTTACTGATCATTTGTAATGTTAACGATTTCTATCTATCTTCTATAGTTGTGGCCAATAATACAAAACAATGTATTAATCTTCATTTAAGGACAATAACTCCAATAACGACTCATCAGACGATTTAGACCATGATGACTTTTTTGTAGACCTGTTATGTTGTTAAATTTTACTTTTAAAGTTTCTCTCTTTCTATATTGTTTTCAAAATAATAGGCAAATATTAAAGTATATTGAAGTTGTCTGATAGCTTTGATGCAAATGAACAGTAGATAGATCTAATCAATGGTAAAGTGGTTTTAAAGAAAAAGACTGAAATAAGAATAACTGACTAAAGAATTTGACTATTCAACATGGTGACAATCACTTAAAATGTATTTCGGGGCTGATGAGAATCATAACAGGTTTTGCTCTGTTTACATTAAATATTCTTATAAAAAGACGATGTGGTATGATTGCCAAGGAGACAACTCTCCACAATAGACCAAATGACACAGAAATTAACAACTATAGTTCATCGTACAGCCTTCAACAATGATCAAAGCCCATACCGCATAGTCAGCTATAAAAGGCCCCGAAATGACAAATGTAAAACAATTCAAACAAGAAAACTAACGGCCTAATTTATGTATAAAATAATGAATGAAAAACAAATATGAAACACAGCAACAAACGACAACCACTGAATTACAGGTTCCTGACTTGGGACGGGCACATACAGAATTTGGCGTGGTTAAACTAGTTTGAAGGCGCCAACCCTCCCCCTAATCTGGGACAGTGGTGTAACAGTACAACATAAGAACAAGCTATAAAAATCAGTTGAAAAAGGCTTAACTCATCAGAAGGATACAAATTGAAATACATCTAACAAAAACACAAAGTGGACGTGGAAGGGTACTTGTACATCCCAACAACTAAAAGACACTTAGCACAGATCTGAGAGTACTCGCAGTTACTTGCCTTGTAACTTACATCTGTTTCTAAGTTAAGTCAAAACAGATTTACCAAAACATGTTCTAATTACTTTCTTCAAAATAGCATTAATCTTGGTTTTTCAAATGCAGCAATAACGCTAAATAACTTAAAATTAAATATCTATAAGTCAGACAAAGCAGGGAACATACCTCTATTGTTTGGTTTTTTTTTTTTTGTTATGGACAATTAGTACAAATTGCTAACACATCTGTCTCGCCTGAGTGGAATTTTGATCATATAATGCAAATTCTAATATTAATTGGCAATATTTTTAAACATGTCAAATATGCAAAAAAATCAAAGACAGTGAAATGAGACTGGACGTGCAGGGTCTAATAAACTTTGTGGAAATGAGAAATTACAATGCTAATACAACCGAATACCAAATACCGGTGACTAATCATAAGTGGTTCCTCTTACATTGACCTTTATGTGTAAACTTATAATGCATGAATTTCAAAGTCAGTGAACACTGATTGAGGGGTGGGACCATATAATCTCCATGGTAATGAGACATACCACTAGTGGTCCCTCTATAAATGACCTAATTACAATAAATACATATAAACTAAGCAAAATTTTCAAAGTCAATAGACCATAACTGAGGCCTTGCTGTCAAATTATCTCCACGGAAATGAGATGTACCAATGCTAACACAACTAGTACTGCATACGAAATAGCACTGACCTAACACTAGTGGTTCCTCTTAAATTGACTTAATCACAAACTGATACAGAATTGACAACTGCCACAGCTCCCAGAAACAGCACACCTGAGTATTGCCTTCGCAACTTAAATGAGGCAAGACTAAAACTAGATTGTCAGCATTACTTATTTACTTGCAAAATCATCTTACAAAATAAATACCTTTCTTTCTCCTTTATCAACTGCTAACTGTATTAGGGTATCGGCCAGGAAGTGTTTGTAGCCAGCATTAATAGAGTTATTCTCTTCTACCACAATATTCTGTGTACTGTGAAGTGTAAGGACAAAATCACGCTGAAGATTGATTCCATGTTTTCCTGAAAAATTAAAACTAGCAAAATAAACCTCAATTATTATGGCCTTCTTTCAATTTTTACATGTTTCTTTTTCTATATATAACTTTTACATTTTTTTTTTTATAACTTTAACATTTTTCTTTTTTTTATAACTTTGACAATTTTATAAACTATAATTTTGACCAGGCATTTGCATTCACATAAATCTATACCAAATTAAAATACAAAATTCTAGTGTGAAGACAAAAACATCTTTGGGAATTAGTTATCAATAAAAGAAGATGATATCTTTAAGCAATGTTCTATGTCCTAAGGCCACAACTTCCACAAAAAACATTCAGTTAAATCAAATTCAAACTTATCTGAAATTCTTTTGATATGACTACCAGTATATAACAAATCTAATCAAGATTGAAGCTTTACAGAAAATGGTGCAGAAAATTCTCTAACAGAAAGGCTAGCAGACTAATAAACAGACAGAAGAACATAGTACAAACCTAAAGCACCCTTTGAAATGATTGAAAATTGGTAAAATTTGTCAAAACACTGCAAAAAAATAAAGAAGCAATTGATCCTCCCTATTGTGAAGGCCAACAAACTTAAATTTCTAACAACTGATCAAATCTTTTATAACAGTTCTACAAGAATTCTATATAATTATAAACATGGTTGGCAAAGTAAAGTGTTTAATTGCCATATAAAAGAATCCTTGATTTTTTTTTGGAACTGAATAGATAGTGCAAATTTCACCTTTAAAGAGCATATCTTCCCTATAAAAAGTGTTTACACAGTATAGAAGACATAAATTCAACGTATACCTCCGTCTAAATGTTTAAAAGCCAGACATGCAATGGTGTATACTCCACTTTGAAGATGTTCTATTTCACATCCCACATAACTTTTGATGTCTCTCTTACTATGACCCACAGTTCTCATCTTTCTACCATCCAGAACTTCCATCACCACTATTAACATGTCAACAAAGTCCTCATTGCTATGGTTACCTCTAATAAATAAAATTTCATGACAGTGTTCAAATGACCAATCAGATTGCACTATAAAGGACAAAGTTCACTTTTGGCAGAATATGGCCTTGAAACTCAACTTTAACATAAAATATCAAAAAGTCCCCAATTTTGTTTTAAAATAGATGTTATTCAAAAGTCTGATCCTAATTAAAACAAATCTCTACATGATATTACATTAAAGGCTCTAAAGTCAGCACATTTTGAAGATTTTGTCAAAATATGTTGATTTCACAAGTGCATTTGTCAGTAAAAATATTAAAGGGCCAATTTTACCACTTTTTGAAGCTTCTCCTTTTTACACATGTGCACAGTGAGGTGAAGCCATGCCTATTCCCTGGAATTATACCTTATACTCTTAGAAGTGTAAAATTCATATTCTTATTAAATCAGTTAACATATTTGAAAATCTTATGAATATTTGAGTTATTAATCAATATCTCAAATTACGTTTTGAATAAATGAACTTTGAAATTAAAGTTTACAGTCCAAAACGATATGCATCACCATCACCCCTAGAAAAATTTAATATTCAAATGTACAGAAAAGAGAGTTAAGAACACAACATTATTAGCTAAAGGTACAACTAAATATACAAAGTTTGTTAAAAAAAAAAGGATTTATTTTTCTTTAATTTATTGTTAATACCAGCTCCTTCAAAATATTCATAATTATTAAGCTTACTAATTAGGGTCCATTAGGTAATTAAGTGGTTTTAGCAGATTTTTGATGGTCTTCATTAATTTTATTCACTATTTGACTCGACTTGTCTAAACATATATTTCTTTTTTGACATCTAGATATCTATTTTGTGTTGTTGGATTGATGTCTCATAGTCTTGTACCCAACATCTCCTTTTTATTCATAATATTTTTAAAATATGCACATTCATGCCAATCATGACAAGAGTTTCTAAAATATTTAGGCACATGATGTTGTAACATTAATTTCTATGAGGTTAACATTTTGTGATTTTGTTTCTAAAATTCCTAAAAGTCAGTAAAAGGTTTCAAATTTTACAAAATTGTTCCATAAACCATGAAAATAAGATCAAGGTCAGATTATTCATGCCAGACAGACTCCTAACAATCCTTTCATACACTAAATATAGGCGATCTTTTGCTAATAGTGGTTAAGAAATCAAACTAAATACAAATAAATGGAGAATGTGTCCATGGGACACAGATAATGCCCCTGCTTGCATATAACGTTATATACTGCAGCTGTGCTATTTGCGCAGTCAAATTGCATTGATCGTATATTCATTTGTGATATACAGTCACTGACCGTATCTCGCCTTGTTTATGACTCGGCTCAAAACAGGATAGAAATGCTCGGCAAAACCTCGCTTTCTACTTGTTTCTAAGCCTTGTACAAATGAAATTTATATTTCGAGACAATGTATGGTTATTCTATATATAAAGGGACATAACTAAAGAACTGTAAAAGTCACTCCACCCAAATTCAAACTTGATCTGATTTTTGTGGTAATAAGCCTTATGTATAAGTTTCATAACATTTGGTAGAGGCAAACTAAAGTTAGAGAACAGAAACAAAAAATTCAGCATTTTTTTCCATTTGTAAAGGGGTATAACTCTAGAACGGTAAAAGTGACGCCACCTATATTCAAACTTGATCTGAGTTTTGTAGTAATAAGCATTCTGTATAAGTTTCATAACATTTGGTTGAGGCAAACTAAAGTTAGAGAACAGAAACTAATTTTAGGACGTACGTAAGTATGGACATGGGTAACACTTCATGCTCCCTCGGCTGCAGCAGGGGCATTAAACTTAATACCCCCTCAGCTGCAGCGGGGGCAGAAAAATAACATGGTCAATGAACCATGGAAATGATGTCCAATTCAGAGTAATCATGCCAGACAGACATGTACCTATTCCATACACTTGATATAGTTGACCTTGTATTTCTTATATATATATATATATATAGTGCCTAAGAAACTGACCTAAATACAAAAACTTAACATTAACCAATGAACAATGAAAATGATATCAGAGGTCAAGGTCAGATAAACCCTGTTTTACTGGCATAATTTATACACTTTAAATCATTCCATAAACCAATACAGTTAACCTATTACTCATTGTATCTGAGAAAATGAAAATGAAACATCTTCAGAACATTAGGCATTTGTAAACAAGATATGATGTTTCAAGGTCTTCTACCTTGTGAAATACAAAGTTTTATACAAATAGTTAACCCTGTCATAGCTGACTACACAGGATCAACATCCCTATGTCTCTCATTCTGAAACATGTCTCACAGGCAAGACAATCAAAGTACTGAAGTACTGAACATTGGATGACTGCAAGTTCTTGTGGATGGTCACACGCACTTGTCTCAGAAAAAAAAATCACATCTCTATACCTGAAAGTGAGGTTAATGTACAGATATAATTTTTTTTTCTTAGACAAGTTCGTGCGTGGATGATAAATAAATGACAGGGAATTCAACCTCACCGTAATAAATATGATATTGAAGTGATACAAATCAGTATACTCTGGTTTGTTGTTATATATTATATTAATATTTGTATATTACAGTTACATGTCTATATAATTTTCATCCATTTGTATATCATTCTATTCTACTATATTAATAATAGTGCAGTGCAAGTGCATGGTGGACAATCTTCTGTAATAATTCGATTTTTCTAATAGATTTGATTTGAGTAGGCATTCATATTTTCCTACCAAACTTTCAATCTCCCATGCAGAGTTATCGGTCCTTGAGAGAGAGCGAGGACCAATAACTCTGCATGGGAGATAGCAAATGTTCTTGAGACATTCTTCCGCATGCGTTAACACACATTTTCTGTACGTGTGCATAGATATTAAAGATTTTTTACTTATATATATATATATTTCTAACGACAAAACATTTTTATATTATTAATTTATGTTCTAAAAAAAATATTTTTAGGAGTATCCAATGAAAAAATGAATTTATAACAAGCGATAAGGATTGTATTTTGCACTCGATAATGTCCGGGTATTTATCATGTTTATAGATCGGTTACAATCCCAACACAAAAGTTACGTAATGGAAATCTAGGCGACAGCAATACACGGGAATGCCCTCACTGTCATCCGATGTAAAAATCAAAGTGAAAAATCATAAGCATGTGCAGAATATAAGCTAGGTTGAATTTCCTAACTCACTTCTTGACCACAAAGTCAATTTGAATATCACAACATAGTTATGTTTGTTGGATTTTAGAATATTGCATTGTGGGATAAAGTTGATTACTTACATATCACTAGAAATATTCAAGCTGCCACAAATATGTTGTAAATATTTTCAAAATTCACAAAATACAAGAATATAAATCTTGACTTTATAACCAAACCTTGCTGATTTACATCTCAGATCAAATTTTAATTAACAAAGAGATCACCTAGTATTAATTGTTAATGTTTTTTCACATATACAATAATTCAGTCCAGATCAGCCTTGAAAACAGGTCACATGAATTCTTCTGTGCCAAGCTACAGTGACTTACTACAGGCATACCAAAAATCAAATAACAAAGTTTAAATAAATTCATTAAACATACATCTGATGTTCAGTAGTTGTTGTTTGTTGATGTGGTTCATAAGTGTTCCTCGTTTCTTGTTTTTTATATAGATTAGACCGTTGGTTTTCCCGTTTGAATGGTTTTACACTAGTAATTTTTGGGGCCCTTTATAGCTTGCTGTTCGGTGTGAGCCAAGGCTCCGTGTTGAAGACCGTACTTTGACCTATAAGGGTTTACTTTTACAAATTGTGACTTGGAAGGAGAGTTGTCTCATTGGCACTCATACCACATCTTCTTATATCTATATAGGAAACAATTTTAGTCATTATGCCCAAAATAAATGATTGCAGTTAAAAATTTATTACCGTTTATTTTTTTGGTGTAGTCCTATACAAAGATCTGTTTTCTTCTGGACATAAACTTTAACAAACTTCCATGGTCCATCAGCAGTTGATGGAAAAGATCCTTTGACTCTTGTTTCATGCCAGTCTCTTGTTTTACAAATTTCTACAGAACCAAAATACCTGAAAATAATTAAAAGCACTGTACTTCAGGTGGTTGATGGTTGTTGCTGTATATCATACTTGTTTTTCATTAGTTGTTTTGTACATAAACTATGCTGTTGGTTTTTCTCGTATGAATTGTTTTATATTTTATGTTGTGAGGGCCTTTTATAGCTTACTTTGCAGTATGGGTTTTGCTCATTGTTGGAGGCCATATAGTGACATATAGTTTCATAAAGTAGAAGTTGAAAATGCTTGTCAATGATTCTTGAACACTCCATGAGTGTTAAAATAATTGAAAACCATGAATAAACAATTGGGAAAGTTGTATTTCATATTAACCGGAAGTTCGTATAGCACGTGTAAATCCAAAATAATTATGGTTAGAGTGTGAAGAAAATCCGTACTTCATAGTTACTACTAGAATACGACTTTGAAACTAAAACAGTTCCGTTCTTTAGTTAAATACTGTTAACTATATCCATAACATTAATTTTTGAATGATCTTCAGCTAAAACAAAACGCACAAGTCAGTATGAAACACCAACACGGAACAAATAACTGATTATGTTTTGTAGTTTATACACTGTAATGCATAAGCTGGTTCCCAGCTGATTTATATACTTTTTTCATTCTGGTTAATACAAGTGGATTCTTGTTTATGTAATGCAATGCTATGAAAAGAAACAAGTCATTTGTAATGAAGCATTCAATTTTGATATTTATCAGTTAATATTGGATTTTGAATTAAAATTGCATATTAATTTGGATTAGTAGTTATTAGTTTTTTAAATTTTAAGGGTGCCCTCTACATTTTCAATAAAAAACATGGCTGAATGTAAACAAACCTCGCAAATTGAGTTTTTCTCTTATTTCTTGATTATCTTACTCTATAATCCACACCACTGCCTGGCAATGTTAATTTTGGAGAAAAAAATTTGGACTATACAAGCCTCAATACGGTAGTTATCATACCTATAGAATTTCCCGCAAAAATTCGGCATACTAGTAACCCGTTTTTTTGTTGTTTATGAGGGAAATTAAAGTCAGAGACTATGGTGATAAACTTATAAATTTTGGTAACCCTTTTTATGTTAAAAGAATATTTCCCCAAAATGTTTCAGTCAAAAATTATTTGAGAAAAACTGAATTTCTGACGGTTACTAGTACTAGTATATGTAAGCAATGCATATCTTCATGAAAATATGTATATCTTCTGCTAAACTGAACTAATCTAATAATAAAAAAAATAACCAATAATATTAAATTCAATACTTTCTAAATTCCTTGAACTCCATCCAGAATGTTCCATGTTTGTTTCCATCTGGTTTCAGTTTCTTTTTGACCTCTGGTTTGACTTTCTGCCATTTTGAAGAGCTATCACTCCAATCACCTTTCCATGATTCACTACCCCATGGATTTCTGATTTTGAGTAACCTATGGAAAAAAATATTTCAAATCATTTTTGAATTGACTCATTTATTGCAAAAAATACCAAAATAAATGTGGATTGTGTCCACATGTGGACACAGATGATGTACCCACTTGCATATCATATAGTTATAAAGGGACATAAATGGAGAATGGTAAAAGTGACGCTACCCAAATTTGAACTTGTTCTGAGTTTTGTGGTAATAAGCATTGTATGTAAGTCTCATACCATTTGGTTGAGGCAAACTTAAGTTAGAGAACGGAAACTAAAAATTTTGCAATTTTTCCATTTATAAAGGGGCATTACTCTAGAACGGTTTGAGTGACGCCACCAAAATTCAAACTTGATCTGTATTTTGTGGTAATAAGCATTGTGTATAAGTTTCATAACATTTGGTTGAGGCAAACTTAAGTTAGAGAACGGAAACCAAAATTTTAGCAATTTTTCCATTATAAAGGGGCATAACTCTAGAGCCGTTTAAGTGACGCCACCAAAATTCAAACTTGATCTGTGTTTTGTGGTAATAAGCATTTTGTTTAAGTTTCATAACATTTGGCTGAAGCAAACTAAAGTTAGAGAATGGAAACCAACTTTGGGATGTACATATGTACGTACGTACAGACGGACAAGGGTAAAACTTAATGCCCCCTCCGCTACGGCGGGGGCATAAAAAGATAAATATAAATAAAAACTTTAACTGTACATCCTTAGGCATATCAATATAAATCAAATTAAATCAAATCTAATAAATGGTAGTTTATATCAATCATGGACCAACATGGGGATATAACAAATAATAATAACAATGTTTGATAAACAATCTGGTACATACAACAGTTACAATACAAGGTATAGGATAAATCTGCAGAACAAAATTGTTCCTTATATGAGCTCAGTATTCATATTAAATGGATCTATAAATAGACATCAATCTTGTTAGTTAACCAAATATTTCCAATCACAAAATATTAAATCAAATACTTATTGAGTTTAAAATCATCTTAATAATTGTAAATGCCATCATTTTTAAGATAAAATACAGGGTATATACAAAAGATGATACTTCGAGAAAAAATCCATAAGACAGCAACTCAACAACCCAATTTCACCAAAATATAATTTCAAGATCTCCATATACATCCGTATGATGGCCAAGCACATATATCATATGACATTCATTAAAAGTGCCTAGTCAGTAAGAATAGTAATGTGACCTATAACTTTACAGAAAGTCTGTTACCATTCAAAGACTCCACCTTCTTTAAATACACACTTTTCTCAATTTTCCAAATAAACATCAAGTGATGACTAAAACTGTGAGTAAACTCACAACAGTTTACCCTGCCATGCAAAATTAGATTATCTCCCCTTTAAAATGTTGGACTTTGGTCATATTTCTGTATGTACATCAACAGGTAGTGTTCTTCAACTTTCTAAGTTTTATTAATATCTAAACCCTTAGCATTTACAAGGCACATAGAAAAACAGATTGTCAGACAGACAGGGTTTAGCCAAAGTACCCCTTTCCCTAAAGTAAAAAAAAATGTTTGCATATTGTACAAATATCATATAATGAAGCCTCAATTCAATGAATACTCAATACTCACTTTTCTCCAGTGTCCATATCATATACATCTAGTAGAGAGTAAGCATGACTGGTAATTAGTCCAAGTGATTTACAATATTCATGAGTGAATCCATCTTTAGCTTCACATGATGTACACATCAAATACCTGAAAAAATATCAAAACAATGTTATTGTTTATCATGTATAATTATAGTATAAAAACAAGTAAATTTACAAAATTCAATTATTTGATTGGCACTTTTTCTGAAATATTTGTATTTACAATTCCCATGCATGCAAACAGTTCATCATCTTCAATATTATGAAGTTAATAACTGTTTATCAGAATAAGAAACAAGAATGTGTCCATAGTACACAGATGCCCCACTCGCACTATCATTTTCTATGTTCAGTGGACCGTGAAATTGGGGTCAAAACTCTAATTTGGCATTAAAATTAGAAAGATCATATCAAAGGGAACATGTGTACTAAGTTTCAAGTTGATTGGACTTCAACTTCATCAAAAACTACCTTGACCAAAAACTTGAACCTGAAGGGGGACAGACACACCAAAAAACATAATGCCCCTAGGTGGGGTATAAAAAGAAGAAGTTACCATACCTCCTTGTTTTAATATAATGATTTTATTTAATAACTTTTCTTACCCACAATCTCTTGCATGTGTCAACTTTGACCAGATCAACATGTTATCAATGGTCTTTGAAAAATCTTTGTTTTCTAATAAAAAAAAAATGCATGGCTAATTATATAGATAAAAAAATAACTTATGGTTCAGGCAGTCTCTCTACTGAACAAATGAGTTAATATATGTTTACAACATATTGCAGAAAATCATAGCTTCATCCATTTTGTGTACTGTTACTACAGATACAACAACAAAAACAACTGTTACAACCAACAATTACAAAGTTTATACATGTATAAATTTTTACAAATTAAATTCTTAACTTAATAAACTGAGATTTTCATTTTCAGACACCTTACAATATAAGCAAAAATAAATACTGTTTCAAGGATGTTGTATGTGGAAATATAAAAAGGTTGAATAAATATATCAGTGTATTTAATCTATAAGTATTTTTACCATTCAAGGACAGATGTTCACATGGTTCACCAGTAAGTAATGACAAGGACTCCACAGTCCTACCAGCTCCTAATGCTTGATAACATCCATGTATCTTAGCTGCCGCCTTCTCAATCAATGGAACCCATAACTGACCTCTTCTTGCCTAAAATTCAAAAAGAATTTAAAAAAAAAATACACATAGTAGAAAATTTTCTTTTTAACCTTTCTTGGTAAGGTTGATTTGATATTTTGTTTACAGCAACAATCTTAAAATCCAAATGACAACTATAATTCAGGTGTTTTAATATTTAAAAAGTGTAAATGAAAAGGAGAAAAAAGAAAGCAATTTTTTTGGTTTTGGTTTTTTATCATTTTTTTCAAACCTATTATTAACAGTCATAATTTTTTTTCCATGTCAGTATTTTTAAGATTTCTTAAGTAAATAACTTCAAAAGTAACTTGGAATTATGTATTTTTAAATATCATCCGATTACTTTAACATCTTTTTAAAAATTTACAGAAAAGCAAGTATACATTTGATAATTTCAAAATGGATGCCATCTATGAAGGAAAAGATTCTCTTGATGTTTTTAGTCCCTTGTTGAAGGTCATATGTTGACCTGTAGTTGTTCACATCCCTGTCCATGGGTCTTAGATGGATAGTTTAGTCATTAGCAACCAGACAACATCTCCTTATTTTAATAATGATTACAATGTGTAAAATTGTCAAATGAAACATTCTTATGTATCCCTGATATCACACCTGATTTTGAATAGGGTTCATTTTGTCATTCCCTTTCTTTTGCATATTCCTCATAATCATGTCTGTTTTGTTTTGATGTTGATTTTTTTTGGAAGGGGGGGGGGGGGGGGGAGAGGAGGGCACACTTATCTCTTTGATATAGATTTTCTAGTTTGTGTATTGTTTTCTTGATTTTGAATTTCTGAAGACACCCCCACCCCAACCCCCCATCAAACACACCATAACCCTCTAAATATAGTTGGTTCAGTATCTTTTAGTCAAATTATCTTCTAGTCTATTTCAAATTGTTAAACCTTTCAAAGTTCCATTTTCAGACGGAGGAGTGGGGTGTTAGTGGTTGATGTTGTTTGTTGTACTGTACAGTATTTTTTGTCATTCGTTATATCCTTTTTTATGTATTATACATTGTATTTGAAAAGAATACCTGATGCACAGATTTTCATTCAGACAGATCTATGAACAATCCAATTAGTAAGCTGATATTTTTTATTATTTGGCTGCTCTAACCTTAGAATATTTCAGTCTTTTGTACTGATCTACTGGGAAGTGGTCATCTAAGACAACAGTTTTCCAGATGCCATCTTTACAGAGTCGTACAACATATGCTCCTTCAGGACAATAATCTTTGGTAACAACAATTCTCTCAACTAGGTTCTTTCTCTCAGCCACAACAGCTAATGCACATATAAACCTAAATGATATCATACACATATATCTAACTGTACTATTTTTACAAGAAATTCTAATATGATACCTTTCTATTGCTTGGTAAACAAAACCATTTTCCAAATCTGACAAAGGGTACATGTGCTTGACGTCACAATTGAATTTGAATTTGAATTATCAGTTGTATTTAAACCATGTAGGTGATCAAAAATGACACAAGCAATCTTTATTAATTTGTAGTTGAAAAAAGAGATTAATGAGTGGGGTACTAATTGCTTTAGTTGTTAGTTTCTGTGATGCACGACCTCCGGACCTGGTCTTTCAAACAGTTATTTTCTGTGGATTTCTGATTGTAAAGGTAAACCAAGAATTAAAAAAATATCCACTAAAACATATTTTTTCCTAAATCCATGAAAATTAGTAACCACAAAAAAAAAATATGAATCCACAGTCTAAACCTTAAGCCAAGTTTTTATCCAATATCAGTCTATTGATAGCTGCTGGGACCTTGACCTTTGAACTCAAAAACATGTTCCTTATCATAGGGCATTATCAAACCAAGTTTGGGGATAGATAGTTCAAAAGATAATATCTGAAAACAAAATAATTGCCAAAATTGCAGTCTATGAATTCCTGTTGTGTACTTGTCCTTTGATTGATTTCAAATTCCAAAAGGTTCTTCCTATTCTCATGGAGTATTATAATCCAAGGATTGTAAAATATTATTTAGTGCTCAAAAAATTTTGCCTGGAAAACAAAATGTCAACATCAGGATACCCCAACATTTGAAATGCATCAACATATTATAAAAGAGGGACGAAAGATACCAGAGGGACAGTCAAACTCATAGATCGAAAACAAACTGACAACGTCATGGCCAAAAATAAAAAGACAAACAGACAAATAATAGTACAGATGACACAACATAGAAAACTAAAGACTAAGCAACACGAACCCCACCAAAAACGGGGGGTGATCTCAGGTGCTCCGGAAGGGTAAGCAGATCCTGCTCCACATGTGGCACCCATCGAGTTGCTTATGTTATTACAAATCCAGTAAATAGTCTAAAGGAAGGGTATTGTAGTTACGACATAAGGAACATATCCGATATCATCTGTGAAACGGTTATTCCATAACGGTCAACCAACTCGTGATGGCGTCCGTAAAATTTACGAAGGGATGACTTCAACTTCACCTCATATAAGCTGATCGAATTACACGTAGCAAAATGAAAAGAAAATTATCTGATCCTTATGATAAAGGTGTTTTTCAAATATTAGAAAGAGAAATATATCTTTAACAGTATACATATGATATTCAATAATTTCAATAATAAATATATATACTGTAAATTCAGAAATTATTGCGTGTATTTATTATTGCGATTTTTTAAGAATGGACAAAAATGTGAGTTTAATTATTGCAATTTTGAAAAAATCTGTATACATATCTTATAATAAAGTTTCAGTTATCAGAATGCGAGTTCTTATTATTGCGATACTTATGCAGTCGCATTATTCACATTAATAAAAACCTAGCATTAACTTCTGAATTGAAAGTAACAAAACTTGCTTGTTCTGATAGATAAGCTAAAATTTGACTTTCCTTGCACTAAATTAAGATTAAACTTGAGACGTTTTAATAATTGGTTATTTATTTATAATATAATTCAAGACAAATTATAAAAAGCAAGAGGTCAAGATTTTCCTCATACCAGCAGTTTCCAATTTCTCCCTGTACAATATCATTTGCTGTGGGTTTGTCATAGACTTTCCAATGTATAGGACCTTTCCAATCCATATCTTTGACATCTTTTAACCTCAGCCATTTTATGTTGCTGCCACCAGGTCTTGGATGTTTGAAGAGGGAACAGTCATTTGGTAGAAATTCCTTATCTGTGAAATCTATCTTTTCCTGTAACGGTAAACAAGATAAAATTGAGAATGGAAATGGGGAATATGTCAGAGACAACAACCCGACCAAAGAGCAGAAAACATGCAGCCGAAACTAAGCAAAATGACAATGATACATAAATTAACAAAGGACTACTAGCAGTTACTGACATGCCAGCTCCAGACTTCAATTTAACTGATTGAAAGATTATGTCTTCATCATATGAAAATCAAGCACAATCCCTCCCGTTAGGGGTTTAGTATCATACCATCATAAAATATATGAGAAGAACATAACCTGTGTCATGCCAACAACTGGTTTTAGAACAAATGTGTTTATTTCCGATGCAAAGACCCTATGAGTGAATCAATATTAATACCAAATTAAAATATGCCATCTTCAATGACCTGACAACAGTATCGTAACTTATATAATGTCCCTTCTGTATAAGTCTGTTTAAAAGTTTGGTTAGATTTTGAGGTGAATGCCGACATTTTTGTGCTTTGTATTTTAAGAATATTACCATAAAAGATTGGATGTGAAATACCTGAACGTATAAGATGTCTGCATGTTGATTTATATTTACGAATAATGTCCTTGTACCAATGATAAAATTTAGTAAATGTTTTGACTAGTTTGTGATTTTGAATATCCTGGTGTAATAATTTTTCAGTAATACAGAGATTTCTTTCGTTAAAATCAATACGTTGTCACATACACGAGCGAATCGAACAAGTTGAGATATATAGACACCATAAGATGGTGACAATTAAGGGAACGTCACCAATTAACAATAGGAAATGAAAAATCATCTCTTTTATCATAAATTTTGGTATTAAGCTACCCGTTAAAGATATAGATATCAAGATCCAGGAAAGGGCAGTGTTCATTGTTAGTGTTAGCTTTATTTAAAGTCAGTTAAGCAGGATAAATCTCTTTAGAGTACATACTGAAGTCGTCATTATTGAGAGCCAATATATCATCCAAATATCTAAAAGTGTTATTAAATTTTTGTTTCAGATGTTGTTTCAATGGGTCTTTGCTGATTTTAGTCATCAATTGTAACGCATAACAATACAGAAACAGGTCCGCAATAAGTGGTGCACAGGCATATGTACATGTACTAAATATTATTGTGCAGATGTTTTTTAATCTGAATTTAAAAAATGATCCATTAAAACATTTTTTTAAGTGGAAAAATTCCTGGGTTTGTATTTTTTTACCTAAAAGTTGCTTTGCTTAAATGATGAGGCCATGTAATCTACCCTTTTGTCTTTTGTCTACTTTTACCCATTTTATGGAAAAGATTGGTCAAATACTATTATGTTAGGTTATCTAAATACTGTTCTTCTTCACATTCAATATAAAATATTTTGAAAACATCATATTTCCTTCCTACCCTACATTTTAGTTTTAAAACCAATTTCAGGGCCTTTTAAAGCTTGCAAATGCAGTATGGGTTTTGCTCAGGTGGTGACCTATAGTTGTTAACTTTTACATCTTTTGGTCTTTGGTGGAGAGTTGTCTCATTTGTAATCATACCAAATCCTCTTACATTTGGGAAAAATGTTGGGTTTTCTATTTTCTATGAATTTGTATTGTTGCCAACTTTGGGTGAGGAAGACCTTTACACAACATCTTCCTTTAATCATATATTATTTTGGTGCATGATATTGCTAAAACAATCTTAAGATATTACTCAATGCATATTAACACTTGTAATCATGTAATTTAATGTTTTAAAGTGTTGAACAATGCATATGAATCAGAGAAGATGATAGGTGTAAGTCAATGAGACATTAACCAGATGAAACAAAGAGACATTAACCAGATCATGGCAGATGAAACAAAAAAGGGAAAGACAGCTAGAGAAAACATACAATATTCTACAATTCTACAATAGACAATTGTTTTTACCATACATACTGAGTAATAAAAGTTTAGCAACATATATTTTAATTTAAATACTTTGAAATAAAGTCATGAAAGTTGAGGTAAACAATCTATACTATTTTTTTTTGTAGATTAAGGTGGCTGGGGGTGTCTTCCTCCATCTTGGATTTTGAAGTAGCAGATAACAGTTGGTCTAGATCTTTAATGATATGTGCAAATTTTGTAAGACTTTTCATGTTAATATAGAAAATTATGTGTTTTATCATATTTACAGCTGTTTTTTCTAAAAATAACACATTATTTTTCTTAAATTCCTTTTTTTTTTCAACTTTGCCACATAAGGGGAGATATCTCAGATAAAGTAATTTTTATAATACATGTAGAAAGTGTTATGCATTTATCTATTTTAATATGTAGCAAGAAAACAAGTCCGGTGACCCCATTTTTTCTTTTTCTTATCTGAAAGCATGTTGTAAGAGCTATCTTCTCACATTTTATCTTAAAATTCTATGGCATAGTTTTCTTTTTATCACACAAAATTGGATTTTCCATGCATAATCTATGCAAAATCTGACAATTTTGCACAACCTGTAGCAAAAAAAGTGACCCATACTTTTTATCATATTTTGGAAAAAAACATGATAAAAAATACATTTTGACAAATTATCAAAAAATTCTATGGATTTTAATTAAGACCCCCATCTACCTTAAGAATTGAATCTTATGGGTTATTTTCTTTCTAGTAATAACTAATTTACTCTTCTGTTTAGAAGTATAATTATTTTTCGAAATATGATATTAAAAATATGTGCTGCTAAACTTTTTGTATTCTGTAAATATGCAAAGCTCTTAATTGCCCAAAATCTATTACAGTTAACGTTGCATTGATATCTGGTAAAGTTTTTAAAAAAACTTACATATAGTGACCTTTTGATGTTCAAAATCTCGCCAGGTTGTCATTGTTAGCTTGCTGCTTCCATGGCTTATTCTCATGTAAAAAAACAATGAACAATAAGCTAACCATCATCATTATTTTTAAAAATAAACAGAATCAATAATTAAACACAAACCTTTTGGCAGTTTGATACAATAATTTTCCATTTAGCTTCAACTTGTTTTGTTTTAATGGTCCTCAAATCCTTAGCTCGGATTGATTCCCTGAGATCATGTCTTAAAGGCTTAGATTTGGGTCTGTCAGTAAAGTTGATCCCAGTAACTCTAGGTTTACCAAAACCACATGCTTCACAAAGTCTGCTTGAACTGCTGTTAGTTAAAGAACATCTTTCACAAGTCCATTTGTCTCCACCAGGCAATGGACTCTTCCTGTCATGATCAGTTGAATGTTTTTCATCTTGTTTTGTTTTCAATTTATCTGAGCCATTTGTAGGTCTAGGTGAATCTGGAGCTTTTCTTTTCTTTGAACAAAAGCTACACCTGTAAAATTCCTCAGAATTAAAATTGTCACATAGATGACATTTCCAAAGTTTCAGAGCATTACAGCATTGACCCTTTATGTGACTACACATTTCACAAATATCTTCTTCAACACCATTAAAAAATGTACAATGGCAACATTTCCATCGTGATGCTAAACGATTATCGGCTGAATGTGGTCTCCTATGTCTATCATCAACACCTAAAAAAATGTTCTTCACAGGTTCTTTGTAATTTTTATCCCTAGCTAGACGATCGGCAGAGCGTGGACGTTTCCCTTTCCCACCACTATCTGTCCTAGACTTTCCGCATTTGGAGCACTTTTTTTCTGTGACAGCATTCCATTGAAAACAGTTGTGATCATAACATCTCCATTCAGGATCATGTAAATGTCTGAAACAAGCATCACATCGCTTGTTGGATGAAAGATTTTCTTTAGTACATGCTTGACATTGTATTGTTGACATTCTGAATGCTTGCTTAAAAAATCTAAAAAAATGATATGAAATCTTAATTTCAATAAGTATTGTAAGTAATTCAATCATTGTTTATGTGACGGGATTGCTTCCCTTCATTAGTAGATACTTAGTCAGCCATAAGCGGTTGAGCTAAGAAAGTACTTCTTTAGCTAAGTCGGTTAACGCGCTGCCTTGTAACACAGAGGTCCCAGGTTCGAGTCCCTGAGGAGGCAAAGTGATTTTGCATTGATAATCATGCTATCTGGTTAAATTTGGCACCCAACTAAAAAACCCAAGGTAGTAAGAGAGGATTTCTAGCTAGGGTATGTGTGTGAGAGTCATAATGGTATGATGACTCTTGAGGTGGGGGAAGTGTGACGGGATTGCTCAAGTTCCCTTCATTAGTAGATACTTAGTCAGCCGTAAGCTGTTCAGCTAAGAAAGAACTTCTTTACCTCAGTCGGTTAACACGCTGCCTTGTAACACAGAGGTCCCAGGTTCGATTCCCAGAGGAAACAAAGATAATTTTGTACGAAGAATCAGGCTCTCCCGTTACATATAAATATATATTTAAATTTACAAATATAATACATGTAATACTCAGTAATTTATTAATAATGAATAGGTCAGTCATTTCAGGACTGAATATTTTTTATTGGTTGCAGATGTTATTTTTAATGTTTTGAGGTATTTCAACAGTTGTATTCCTGCTGTAAGATTCCATTTATGTTACAACATTTTATTACCTTTCTTATTCTGATAAAATTTACCAAAATTCATATATTCGTCAACTCCCTTTTTAATTTGACAGATTAAAAAGAGAATGATTTTTGAAATTGAAAAAAAAAAATCATCCACGAGTGCTGATTTTTTTCAAAATTAGATAATTCAAGAAATAATAGATAAGAAACAGACAATCAAAGAGCTGAAAGCTCTGAGGAAAAATGACGCCACTGTCTCTAATATTGTGATATTTTTTATGCAAGTCTTGATTTTCACATACCGTAATAAGTTTAACATTGCAACATGTCTCGTAAGCATATAATTGATATTCGTATATGTGTCTGTTTTTTCAGTACAAATGAATAGGTCAAGACTACCTGAATGATCTACAGTATCCAATTACTACTGGCTGTTTTTTTGTATAAATAAATAGGACAAGACTACCGGAATTATCTACAATATCCAATGACTACTGGCTGTTCTTTTGTACTAATAAAAAGGTCAAGACTATTTGAATGATCTGCAATATCCAATGACTACTGGCTGTTCTTTTGTATATATAAATTAAGACTACCTGAATGATCTAAAGTATTCTAAGTAATGTGATTTTTTTCTTGCAATTACATTTTTCTAAATCAAGAATATAGACTACTAGTATCCTTTTCAAACCAAATGATTATGAAGAGCCTGTTGTTAGTAAGCTCTTATACCCCACATACTCATTAAATAAGTTACTAGTGACCTAGTTATTTCTGTTACTTGAAGCAAATTATATTTCTGTATATTTAGACAATAGTATAATATTGTTTTACTAGTTTTATTTCACCTTGAAGATTAGACAAATAGGGATACTCCTTCGATTTTTTATTTCATGTCAGTCAGGTCGCTTTATATGAAACTTGAAACCACTTCTCTGCCATATTGTTATTTTATAACAACTCTGCCCTTGACCATGTTGACCCATGTAATTGATATTCATTCTTTAACCATATATCATAGTCAGTTAGATTTTGATTTTGCACTCCCACACCACCTTTCATGTCTTTCAGGTCAAATGTCTGTCTCCATTTAAGTTAATGACATTGAACAATCATGGTATTAAACACAATTTCAATAGTGATAATGCTGTTCTCGTGGGTCACCATATATTCAACTTGGGTAGCATTCCAGTTATTGAAATTTGTGTCAGATTAGAACAATGATCTAGATCTTTAGGAATGGATCTTATAATTTAATATCATAGTCAGTTAGATTTTGATTTTGCACTCCCACACCACCTTTCATGTCTTTCAGGTCAAATGTCTGTCTCCATTTAAGTTAATGACATTGAACAATCATGGTATTAAACACAATTTCAATAGTGATAATGCTGTTCTCGTGGGTCACCATATATTCAACTTGGGTAGCATTCCAGTTATTGAAATTTGTGTCAGATTAGAACAATGATCTAGATCTTTAGGAATGGATCTTATAATTTAATATGGAGCCATAGTATGGGACTCCTACACGGTAACAAAAAAAAATTCGTAAAGGTTCCGCGGAACCCAGTGTCTCGCCTACTTTTGCTGTTAATCGCAGGCTCAACAAAAATGAGGAAAAAAATTAATAAAAATATTCCTCTATATACTATCTTTTGATTGTAAGTAGCTTCTGTCCAAGTTTGGTAAAAATCCAGTATAGTTTATGAATCTAATAAATGTTTTAAAAACTTAAACTGCAGACTGTATGTAATGTTAACTGGAAGAAAAACTAAGTCCATTTATAAGTAAAATACGGAAAAAATGGAACAAAATTTTAACAAAATTTACTTCTAGATACTAGCTTTAAATCATAAACAAGCTTCTGTCCAAGTTTGGTACAAATCCAGGATAGTTTAAGAAAGTTGTTAAAATTTTAAAAACTTAAACCACAGAGTGAATGTAATGTTAACTGGCAGAAAAACTAAGTCCATTTATAAGTAAAATACGGAAAAAATGGAATTTTTTTTTTACAAAATTTACTTCTGGATACTATCTTATGATCATAAACAAGCTTCTATCCAAGTTTGGTAGAAATCCAGGATAGTTTAAGAAAGTTATTAAAATTTCAAAAACTTTAACCACAGAGTGAATGTAATGTTTCCTGGCAGAAAAACTAAGTCCATTTATAAGTAAAATACGGAAAAAATGGAATTTTTTTTTTACAAAATTTACTTCTGGATACTATCTTATGATCATAAACAAGCTTCTGTCCAAGTTTGGTAGAAATCCAGGATAGTTTAAGAAAGTTATTAAAATTTCAAAAACTTTAACCACAGAGTGAATGTAATGTTTCCTGGCAGAAAAACTAAGTCCATTTATAAGTAAAATACGGAAAAAATGGAATTTTTTTTTTACAAAATTTACTTTTGAATATTATCTTATGATCATAAACAAGCTTCTGTCCAAGTTTGGTAGAAATCCAGGTTAGTTTAAGAAAGTTATTAAAATTTCAAAAACTTTAACCACAGAGTGAATATTTGTGGACGCCGCCGACGACGACGCCGACGGAATGTAGGATCGCTATGTCTCGCTTTTTCGACAAAAGTCGAAGGCTCGACAAAAACAAGCTTGAAAGGATACAATGTCAAGCGGCAAAATCTATCACCACAGATTGCAAGTCAAAAGAGGATGGACGGGATACGTCTCTAAAATGCTTGCTTAGCTGGAACTACAGCAAGATCTCCAGACAAGACGAACAAAGCGTTGAAGCCAGAAGTTAATATTTATGTAAAAAGTAGTTGAGATGCTGATTCCCGCTATTGAACCATACTGTCATTCTATAATATCATTGCGTTAGTATTTCTGTATTGGCCTTGTTATTGGTCCATGTCTTGGGTGTATTGGTCTGAGGCGAAGCGGAAGGCCAATACTGCTGGCCGAGGACCAATAATAAGGCCAATACAGAAATACACGTAAGAGTATCTTTATTAATTAACTACAGTGTTACAATATTTTTTTTATTTCAATTCACAAGAAATAAACATTTTTACCTTGAAGTGGAACTATCCAAATCTCAGTTTCCTTTTATAAGATGCAATATCTAATGATTCGGTGCCGTTTGACTGCTGGCCGAGAACCAATAATAAGGCCAATACAGAAATACACGTAATAGTATCTTTATTAATTAACTACAGTGTTACAATATTTTTTTTATTTCATTTCACAAGAGATAAACATTTTTACCTTGAAGTGGAACTATCCAAATCTCAGTTTCCTTTTATAAGATGCAATATCTAATGATTCGGTGCCGTTTGACTGCAGGCCGAGAACCAATAATAAGGCCAATACAGAAATACACGTAATAGTATCTTTATTAATTAACTACAGTGTTACAATATTTTTTTTATTTCATTTCACAAGAGATAAACATTTTTACCTTGAAGTGGAACTATCCAAATCTCAGTTTCTTTTTATAAGATGCAATATCTAATGATTCGGTGCCGTTTGAAGTATCTTCAGCCTTTTCTCATCTGATGAATTTTTCTACCCTTTCCAGTCACTATAAAGTGTTACAACTTTAATTTAGACACAACACATAAATAGTAATTGGAAAGGTACTGCCATTGCATGTGTAATGCAAATATATTTAAAAAAAAAATAATGTAAGAGTTGAAATTGATACAACTATCCATAAGCCAATTGACCAAAGAACGAAGATTTGCACAATTACAGAATGCATATGCCTGGTTCGGGTTTAAAAATAAACGACCGTTTAAATACAAAACATAAGAAGCAACAGTAAACAGTAAAAATCGATTTGTACCATCGACATGATGAAATTATGAGGTCGTCAAGAAATGAACTTTGTGATAATTTACTCGTTCCCCAAACCTGAAATAATCCCATCGTCTACTTTCAAAATGCTTTTTAAATGAATGGGACCGTCTTTAACCTAAAATGTATGCACTACTGAACGTTTCAGCTTGTTTATGGTGAGTAAACCTGCGTCTTACAAACAACTGTTTACTTTCAGTTTGAGTTTATCGTGACTTACGATCTAAAAACTAGAGACGTTCCGAAATCCTCTTTTTGTAAACAAAGATTCATACGCACCGTGTGGGTATAACCGTATTATTAATTTCCGATTTTTAAAATCTTCGTAAATCTGAATAAAGACCAGTTTCTATCCAATGGATATCAAAATGATTCCGATTTTCACTTTTTTTAATGATTGTAAAGTTGAAATGGCATGAAAGGCTGACATTATTTAGGAGAACTATTTTGTCTAGCGATTGCTGATCATTGGAGGGTAAAAAGTCCAACACCATAACAAAACGGATCTATTTAT